CAAAGAAATGTCGACACGAAAATCTGGACAGCTACCGCCATCTATAAGCGACAATAGCAACCAGACAATCGGCTTGCCGGCCTTGCTCATAGATGGCGACAGCCTTTCCAGCCTTTCTACTCTGGTTTTCACCAGAGTGGAAAGGCTGAATTTCTCTAGACGTCGTCCTCGAGGTCGTCCGATAAGTCGTCCTAAACGTCGTCTTTGAGGTCGTCCTTGAGGTTGTCCGAGAGGTCTTCGAGGTCGTCCTCGAAGTTGTCCTTGAGGTTGTCCTAAACGTCGTCCTCGAGGTTGTCCTTGAGGTCCTCCTTGATGTCGTCCCAGAAGTCGCTCTTGAGGTCGTCCTAGACGTTGTATTCGAAATCGTCCTAGAAGTCGTCCCTGAGGTCGTCCAAGAAGTCCTTGAGGTCGTCTGACCATAGTACAGCTTCGCTGGTCTTCCTTCTTCACCAGGGGGAAAGGCTGAAAATGTTTTATTCTTTCTTTTTCAATTAATTGCACGTCAAAAATAACTTACGCGTGTTTCATAGGTTCTAAAGGTCAAGAATTCGTTCTAAGTAGTATTTACTCGAAGTACCAAAATCGTTGCACCGCCAATTTTAAATAACTGTACACTATTTATTTATAACGTCAACTAGAGCATATTTGTGAGGTTGGTGCTTTAGCACTAACGTTTAACAGTGCATTTGAGTACACTGTATATTAATTGACGACGTGATAAGAACAACCATACCAGATATAAACGGGGACCATGCGAAGATTGTAAATGCGGGTTTCTTTTCAAAGAAGAGTAGGGTGCTGGGTGTCAATTAGAAATTTTAACGAGATTTATCACCCCCTCTAATCGAATAATTAATCAATCAATCGGGTTCATTTATTTTCAGGCAAAATAGCTTAAAAATGTTAAACTTAAATTTTTTTGTGTTTACTGAATATGTGATAAACATGGCAATGTACAATTTCGGATTTTTAATCAATGTGTATTTGAGAACAACGACAAGGCACCCACATTCACAAATGATTACATCAGCGGCAGAGGCAAAGAGTTTTGTTGATATTCTTCGGCATAAGCGAACTCTTTTAATTGATCCGAATACTGCCTGATGTATTAAACGGACACTCGTACGGCGTTGAAGTGGATGGGACACGCATAACCTCCTCCACTTGTTTGGGATTACAAATCTCGACCCTTTAGGCGAAATTATGACCTTAGGTCACAATTTCGTCTGAAGTTTTTCTTAGTACAGGTGTGCTCGTCCATATCTACGTGGTGACAGCGTTAAAGATTTACTTGTTTTGTTTATTTGTTTTTGTCTAAATTTATTCTATTAACCGGTTAAAAATTCAATTATGATAAAAGCATGAATCGATTAACTGTTACGTTAATCGATGAAGTTCCTAGCCCTGTACAAAAGTGCTTGAACCAGACGAACGCAAGTGCATAGGAAGCACTTCGCAAAGCCATTCGTTTGTACTGTAGTTCCAGCAGAGCCAAATAACATTTGCCGAACAAATACAGTCGATGATTTGAAGGCTCGGAGGTACAGGCTTTTATTTTGCGATACGCTGGCTAAGATGGCAAATTTCAAACAGCAGCCGAATAAAAAGTATAAAAAAAATAATAATAACTACCAGAGAAAACGCAATCGGGCGTAGAGCTTTTCCCGCTGTATGTTCCGTTCGCAAGAAACAGCCGCAACAACAAAGCGAAGCGAACGGTTCAAATTTCTCGTTAGGGGAAAAAAAATTGACAGAGAGAGAGCTTAGAAACCGTAAACTCCGAGCCCGTCTCGGAGCTTTTGATCCCACGTCTGGCGGTGAAGTGGTGCCCGGCACGCTCTCCCGAGATCTGCCCTCGAAATCGGCAATCGCGTGGCGCAGTCAGCGGCTCGGAAGGTTAGAGAGCCTAGATTCATGAGGGAGGGGGACAACTGAAACAACGGGAGAGCGCTTTCCATTTAAAGGCCGACGCCTCCTGCGCACACTGGTCGCAAGTGCGCATGCGTAGTGTTTCGGCACGAAGAAGAGATAAGGGGGCAAAAGAATCGGAGGCGCTTGCGGATGATTGACGCACGCTTTCGGCCCCTTCTTCGCAGTTCCTGTATTGCAAACACGGCCCACGGACCACGTCAGACCGATCGAGCAGTCGGGAACACTCTGAAATCTAGGCACACCGCGAAAAGTTCTTCCTTCGTGATCCGCATTCGCTCCGGAACGTCGAAGAAAAACTGAAAGAGTGGTGTCTCCTCATTCGGAAGCGCGGGAAGCGGCAAGGAGCCGGCAAGATGGACCGCCAATCTGGGCTGCCTACAGCCGATCCACTAGATACGTTCCTCCCACCGTCGCCCAAGAACCTTGTACTCCGTTTCAGCTTGCGGTGGACTGCAGAGGATACGAATTAGGAAAACCGATCACACTCCGTGTGTGAGTGTGTGCGTGTGTGTCACGTGACCTATTGGAGAAACCAACGGCGCCTAGAAGACTCAAAGACCGTGCACTTGAATTTCGACGTCGCCGCAGCGAGATGGAGCGCAGACACAGATCGAACACGAGCCCTGCATCGGCATGTGGTTGGCAGTCGTGCCCGTCACCCGTCAGAGGACACTCAGTCCCGGGCTTGGTTCCTATTTTTGAGTTTACGCCATCCGAGTTTGATGACGTTCCGCGGAAGAAGACGAAGATATCGTTCGCATACTTTGATGACCCTAGGGGGGTGTTGGAGAAACGCGTCGACGTACGGGGCATTGAGTCAGTCACGTGGTACGTTCTAGGCTTCGGATTGGCTAGGACGACTCGTAGCGTCCGTTCCGTTCCACCGTAAGGTCAAGCTCCGAGTAGAGCTCTCCCTAGAAATTCCACGGAGCGGAACAAATTCTTCCTTCTCGCTATTTAAAAATACAAAAAAAAAAAAAACATTCGTAGTTTTCTTGTTTTTTTTTTTTTTAATTTGGTTTGCACTGTCGACGAATTAGTAGAGGATCCCAGCTAGTGATGGCTGCGTTCTCAGGGAAAACAACAACAAAGTAACCAATTCAGATCCTGTATCACCACTTATACTATAGCGTACGAAAGCCTTTTTCTCTGCTCCCATAAAGTATCACTCCTGGAAGAGCCCCCCCTGAACGTAAAATAGACTAGAATACGCCTTAAGGCCGCGGTCGCAGCGCTGCTAATACTGTCTGTAGAAACTGTCTGAGACGTGTTTCTTCCTTGTATGATGGTCCTGTCATATCGCTCGTGCAAAAAGTGTCTGCTGGCATCTCTGAACATGATGCCAAGCATATGTCGCCGAACATATGTTCGGCAAACATGTTTCGAGCCAAATTTAGGCGTGTTCGGAGGTCCTCGTTTCACCATGTTTGTAGAGAAACAACGTGTCTTTTGCATGGTCCATATTACGAGCGAAACGGAACGGACGTCGTTTTAATGTGCCGCGAAGCTGCAATTCGCCAGGAGGCTACCGCGAGGGCACTGCCTTTTAAAGGAGCACTCAACTGCCTTTTTATAGAAGCTCGTTTTTACGGCATATTGTTTGTTGGGCTTTTCTCAATAAAAAAAAATAAAAAGAGATCACTTTTAGATGGCAAAACATCCTAGTAAACTAGGTGCATCAGAAATACACGGACACTATTTCCTGTTGGGGGGAGGGGGCTGGGGGGGGGGGGGGGGGGGGGGTGGGAGGATTCTCGTGTTTCCACCCCCTCTATAAATCATGACCATTTAAAATAGTTGATCGCGTGGGGATTCCGACCGTTATTATTATAGCTCTTTTTATACGTCAAATGTTTCGGTGTAGTAACTATTGTCTGAAAATGCCGTCGGACAACTCCCCCTTATGTCTGCTCCAAGACGCAGAAAGAGGGGCGCGTCACAATTTTTGATTAAATTTTTAATAGGGATATCAGCTGCCGATGAGTGTAATTTCGGTGTTGTTTTTTTTAATGCTTAGAGTCCGTAGAGATTGAGTTATCACCATAAATAGACGATCTAAAAATTCACTTGAGTGCCTCTTTAATAGCTTTCGAAGGTCTTCAAT